ATCTGCTTCTACAAAACTGCTGTCTTTGGTTCTCGGAAGGTTTTGTTTGAACTAACATTGTCTTGAGCTTGAGCTCGAAACAGCTGTGCCAGCCTATGCTAAAACTTGGAGAAAGGGTGCTTGATTGAAATAGCAGTGATGTTCAAAGATCTTTTTGCAAGCACAGTGACTTTTTTCAGGTGCCTTTCCATGACACAAGCAAATTTTACTACATTAACTTTTATGATGAATTTCTGTGTGACTTGATACTTCTGATCTTTATAGAGTGTTTGTGGTGTCTTTAAAAGCACAGAAATACTGTTATCTCTAGTCAAAATGCAGTTATGAGGAAAGCTCATTTAGATGGTGTTCTTCTGCATCCCATTTTCATTACAGGCTTAATGGGAGCTGAGGCTCTGCCTTTACCAGTCTTGCTGATGTGCGTACGCATCTTTTACTATTTTATTTATTTCTCTGTTCTGATCTCTACTGAACACTAAAAGACGTGGCTGGATGGTGTAGCCAGAACACAGCGGGAGTCTTGGTGTGAGGCGGTACATCCTAAATACCTACTGACCCATGCTTATCTGCCTGTAGCTAAAAATCAGTCTGAATTATGTGGGCTGTACTTAAAATAGCTGTCTTCCTTGAACTGCACCCTGGATACACTGTGAATCATGTCAGATTACTAGATGGTCCCTATTGCAGAGTTTCAAGATGATGCTCATTAAGGTGTTGTAAGCATATGTAGGTGATCTCTTTCTTGCCTTTGGCAGGAGAGGAAGCATATGGGCAACTGCACATGCACAGGAGATTCCTCAATGCAAAGCAACGCAGAGAGCAAAGGGGAGAGCCAAAGGCTAGTATTTTCCGCAGCACCTTGCTGTCATCATAAGAGCTGGCAGCAGCCTTGCTTATAGCTATAAAATTCTTCATTTTGCAGAGCTTTGAATGTGATTAATGTTCTAGTTAAGTCATGTAGACATGCTGCTTCGTTATATTTACAGTGATAAGGCAACTTGCTTTTAGGTCACTGCATTCCCAAATGGTGCAGGCTAGACTTTTTTCAGTTTTGATTTGTACCGAAGAAGAAAGGAAGTTTTTTCACTTAAATTTGAAGTTAATTTTCTTATGTTTATAGATGAAAAAAAAAAGTATGTAGATTCTAAGATGACTAATGCT